GTCGTTTGAGTAATATGTTGTGGTCAACTGTATCAAATGCTGCACTGAGATCCAGCAAAACTAAGACTGACATTTTTCCACTGTCTGGAAACATGAAGTTATGTTAAAAGAACATTTTACTGCCCCTTTTACAAAATAGAAGATGAATTTCGAATACTTGATTATTCTGATAGATATCGTAACTAAGACAAAGTTTGTTTCTGTTTTTGATCTTCAGGAGCGGCAGCGTGTCGGGGCTCACGCTCAAACTCATCAAAATATCTGTCAGCAAGATGCTGGAGACCCTCTCGGATGATGACTTTGTGAACGTGGTTTCTGTGAGTACTCACACAACTAATGCTTTGATCTCATCATCTGTCTGTTCAGAATGAATGAATGAATGAATTTCCAGGCAAGCGCAGTGATGAATCTGAATGCGGACTTCTTGTTAATGCGGTGGCTTGGCTGTTTAAGCAGCCTTGACCTGGATCGAGTCATTGGTCTAAACATGGCAGCGGCCTTTCTAGTAATTTCATGGACGACACATGGATAGATCTTCATTGTGGCTGCATTCGTGCGTGGATGCATGCATGCTTGTAAGCTCATTTATCTGACACATACGGTGTGTGTATGTGTGTATATTTATTTAGTATTTTATATGTGACAACACAAAACACAGCTTGGGCGAGCCGCAAAAGGCCACAGGATAAGTTTGATGAATCAAAGTATGCTTTTTTTTCTTTTCTTTTTTATTTCACTTTGAATCAGAGGCATGTAGTGGAAATTGCCCGACTGCCCAATTGAAATATGGTAGGACTCTCAGGCATCAAAGCTTTACTGCCATGGGGATAGGGGAAATATTCATCCATCATCATTTAGAGCTCCATCGCCTGGTCAGTTAAAGCTTTTCTTCCTCCTACAGATATTACTTGTGGAAAGAAAAATAACACAGTTGAAAAGGGTTATACTAATAATGTCCCCCAGCTGAAAGAATTTGAGTAGTCCCAAAGAGATATTGGAGACAATTATATTAGCTGTGATAAGGGCTTAAATGCAAACACCCTAACTTCATTTGGACCCTTTGTGGCAGGGCTGCTTAAAGGCAACCCTCAAACGCAGTTTTTGTCTGTCCCTTGGCGTATGTAGTGAGCTAATATCTTTTGGGATGTAGAGGAATGCGCTCTAGAGACATCTCTCTGTAGATCTTTTTGTGTGAAGGAGAAAATATCCAAAATCAAATCCAAAGAAAGTAACTAGAAAATTGCAAAAGATTGTTTCAGCCAGAAAGCATTTGAGCCATGTTTTCCTCAAGCATCGGTCTTTCACACAAACAGTGTAACTCTATTAGTCTGTTGTTGTATAAATGGCATAAATCCAGATCCAGAATTATAAAGTTAGTATATAAGTTGTGAAGTGTCAGACTGTGTCTCAGTATCTGAGCCTGGCTTATTGTATTGACTGTAACAGTTTGTTATTCAGATAGAAGTGATTACTGTAGGTGTCAAAGGTGGGACCTACCTGTGCTGTTTATGATGATGATTCATTAAAGATAACAGAGCTTGACCAGAGAATTTCTTTATTTAACTCTGAGTGATCGATAACCCTTTTCTATGCCTGTGTGGGGACAGCTAAAACACAGCTTGTGTTTAGCTTTGGCAAGATTTTGTCCTGATAGGGCCCAGATCGCTTTCAGCTGGACTAAGCAAACCAGAGACTGGATGTAATGTAAGCTTCTTCCTTACAAGTCCATGCATTAAGAGGTACGCAGGTACTTATTTTCACATCACATACTTAAGTTTGAATGTGTTCTATGTTCAGCGTGGACATAAATCACCTGGGTTTATAAGAGTAGCATTTATACTACAGATTGGTTGCCTGGGATCAAGCATCTCTGCTGCAGTCGAATGAATTGCTCCACTTGCTTAGGCACAGAAGTCTTCTGGTCCTGTCTAAAATCTCCTTTATCCGCATTGTTATCTTTGCCTTTCCTTCACATTCTTCTAACAGTAGGAAATACCCATTATGTTTCAGTTTTCTTTCCATATTAAACATTAATTACATTTTCTTCCACTTCCCCTAATAAACCAGCGGTTTCAGCTGAACATTTGGTTTGGGGCTGTCATATCAGCTAAGTAGAAAGGCCCTTGAAGTTAATGAAATAAGGCTCAAGTGTAATAGGTATATTGATCAAATCCAGCGAAGTTTGTAAACTGTAGACTGCATTTTGAAGCTTAAAAATTAGATATGTGCAAGTCTAATCGATTTTTCAAGTTGGCTTTCCCAGAATGTTGCCATGGCGACTAAGGGTGTTGCCTCACATCACACACCTTTCTGACCAAATTCTATATGGCTGACAGCTAGTTGCCATCTAACCATTTATAATGGAACATGTATGCCTTATACTTGGACTCTCTTATTTCATATAGTTCATAATTTTCTAGTAGATTAACGGAAAGCTTTCTTGAAGGGAGAAAGTATTGCTTTAACTAACTGGAAGGAAAGTGGAACCAAACCAGCAAACCAAAGGCTTCTCAGTTATTTTAGAGTTGAAAATTCCTGTTAATTCAATAAGTAACAATCTTAAAATGCATCCATCCATCTGTTTGGTATGCTGTATGTGCTTTATCTGTCAGTCACTAGTTTAACATTGTCTTTATTCTGTATGTATTTAATTTGTTGTTTCTACTTAATGCCATGTAAAAAGGAGATTTTGCAAAGGAGTCTTGTGACAAACTAGATATACCCTTACTGCTTCCTTAGGCTTTAAGAGGTTAAGTAGCAGCCATGAGCCACTAATCAAATGCTCTTGAATAATTGATCTGCAAGTGTAACCACCTCAATAAAAGCAGATCTTTCAGCAGTTTGTCTTTTGGACAGATAAGAATTAAGTGGAGCTGTTTGGCTATAATGTATGGCAAAAAACAAACAAGCATGGTGATGGAGGGGTGATGATTTGGGATTCGTTTGCAGCCACAGGACTTGGACATCTTAATGTCTAGGACTCAACCATGACCTCCCTTGTATACCAAAGTATTCAAAGCTGGGTCATGCAACAGGATAATAATTCTTTCCACAGCAGCACAAAAAAATTATGAATCAAGTCAATATGAGTGAAGCTGTTCCAATGCCCCAATCAAAGCCCAGACCTCAACCTGACTGAAGTGCTGTGGTGGGGCCTTAGGAGAGCTGTACATAACCTAATGCCATCAAACCTCTGTCAACTGAAACAAGATTGTAAAAAAGTTGAAATTTTCTTATGTTCAATTACAAGTTTATTTCTTTATTTTCAAGGTATCAAGGCTGGTGGCTTTTTATTGCTGTTTCTATGATATTTTCAGATCTTTATTATTAGTTAGATGAAGGAAGTTTGTACATGTGCATGTGTGTAGGCATGTGTCTTTGAGGATGAATGTCTTGGCAGCATATGCCCTGAAACTTCTGCCAACATGTTGAATATTTGGAAACAGATACTGCAAGCTGCAAGCCTCGAGTGTTCTAAAAGCATAACAGAATTTGTCATTTGCCTGGTTTTTGTTCCGTTTTGTCTCAGATTGAAATGTTTCTACGTAAATAGAATTATTATTTCCATTATTTCCATGTTGTTCAAGCCTGTTTTCTGCTAGAGAGAGAATCCTTAACTACAGTGGTGAGAAAAAGTGTTTGCCCCCTTGCTGATTTCCTGGTTTTTTTTTGTATGTTTGTCAATCTTAAATGTTTCAGATCATCAGACAAATTTAAATATTAGACAAAGATAGCATAAGTAAACACAAAGTGCCATTTCTTAATTTATTATTAAGGGTGAAGAAAATCCAAACTTACATGCCCCCTAAACCTAATAACTGGTTGGACAACCCTTAGCAGCAACAACTGCAATCAAGCATTCGCAATGACTAGCGATGAGTCTTTTGGAGCACTGTGAAGGAATTTTGTCCCACTCATCATTGCCACATTAGTAGACAGCAGTAGTTTTGGTACACAGCAGAATTCATGGTTCCAATGATGACAGCAGGTCTTCCAGGTCCTGAGGCAAAACGACCCCAAACCATCACACTACCACAACCATATTTTACTGTTGTTATGAAGTTCCTTTTCTGAAATGCTGTGTTACTTTTATGCCAGATATAACGGGACTCAGACCTTCCTAAAAGTTAAACTTTTGTCTCGTTAGTCCACAGAATATTTTTCCAGATGTCTTGGGAATCTTTAAGATGTTTTTTGGCAAATGTGAGACGCGCCTATGCTCTTTTGGTCAGCAGTGGTTTTCACTATTTTTGGCCAGTCTCTTTCTTATTGTTGGATTATGAACTCTGACCTTAACTGAGACATGTGAAACCTGCGGCTCGTTAATGTTGTTCTGAGTTGTTTTGTGACCTCCTGGATGAGTCATCGATGTGCTTTTGGAGTAATTTTGGTAGGCCGACCAATCCTGGGAAGGTTCACCACTGTTCCAAGTTGTCTCCATTTGTGTATAATGGCTCTCAGCGTGGTTTACTGCCTTAGAATCTGCCATAGACATTTGTAACCCTTTGCAACCCTTTCCAGACTGACAGATATCAGTGACTTTGTTTCTCAGGCGTTTCTTTAGATCGTTGCGGGATTTTGAGCTTTTTGAGCTTGCTTCACTTTTTCAGACGGGTTCTATTTAAGTGATTTCTTGATTGTTTAGTGAAACTGAACTCAGCTTTCCAAAAAATGTGGTTAATCACAGTTAATTCATGATTTAACAAGAGGGCCAATTACTTTTTCACAGAGGACAAGGCAGGTTTGGAGAACCTTTTTTCCTAATCAATGAAATCATCATTTAAAAAGCTGCATTTTATATTATATTACTCGGGTTATCTTTGTCTAATATTAAAATTTGTTTGATGATCTGAAACATATGCAAAACACTAGGTGATCAGGAAGGGGACAAACACTTTTTCATACTATTCTACTTATAGATTTCCATAAAAGTGCTGAAATGACAGAAAAAGCAGAATTTATTTTGCACCTCTTTCGTATTTGCGCAAGTTTCAGTGTTTGTTTTTGTGCCAGTGTTGAACTTGATCATGATTGGAGGGGTGCACTCAAGTCCAAAACAGATGTTTGGCATTAATGAGCCATGTACCAAAGTCCGTGCTCTGTGTATGTGTGATTATATGTGTGCATGTGCACGTGGCGGGTAGGTGTGTGCATTAATTGACTGAGTTCCATCTGTTCCTCCACATTAACTATTCACCAATATTAACATGAAGATACTTCACGTGTGAATCTGTGTAAATGTAATTTAACCTTTTAATGTGATTTCTGCTTCAAGCAAATAATTCCTTCATAATAAAGCTTTTGTTGTTGTTTTGTTTTTACCTCCTTATGCCACTCGTTTCATGCCCTTACCTGCTCTCCTTCCAATTCTTCTTTTCCTATAGCTCCCTTCGGTCAGTCCAGATTTGATTAAAACTGATTTCATTTCACACAAGTGACATATGTCAGTAATCACTGTATATTGTTTCAAATGGAATCGCTTTAATCTTTTTATCCTGAATGTTGACGTGTCTTTAGATGGTTCTGCAATGAAGGGGGGGGGGAGCCACATATTTAATAGAAAATATGTGTAAGTGTCTTCCCTGCACTTCCCGTCATCCCTCCTTACCTTTTCCCTCCAGTTCCAAAATGTCGCCAAGAATGTGTCGTGCTTTGGGAACCTTGTGCAGGCTAATGTAAGGAACAAGAAGATACTGAAAAACGCTGTGGAGAACATCACTGCGAATCTCAGCACCAATTACACAGCTGGCTTTGAGACGGCCTTTGAACAGCTTAAACAGGTAACGTGTGTCTAGGGCAGGGGTAGGCAACTCCAGGCCTCGAGTGCCGGTGTCCTGCAGGTTTTAGATATCACCTTGGGTCAACACACCTGAATCCAATGATTAGTTCATTACTAGGGCTCTGGAGAACTTCAAGACATGTTCAGGAGGTCCTTTAGCCATTTGAATCAGCTTAAACCTGCAGGACAGTGGCACTCAAGGCCTGGAGTTGGACACCCCTGGTTTAGGGTTATACTTGGTTGATGCATTGAGCTTTTTGCGTTAAATTGCATTATACACTATTGTTCCTTAAACAGTGCTCAATAATAATTGTAAGAATAATGACAGCAAACACTGTAGGACACACTAACAACTCAATCCCAGTGGGCTTCTCCTGAATACTGGGTATGTGTCGACCTCCTCTGGTTGTTTCAGATATTGCAGGTTTGATTTTATTAGTATCAGAGCTGCCGTTTAATTCCTCTTCATCTTTTTTAACAGTAGCAGCAAGTTGAATTCTTTTTTCATCGTCTTCTTTTGGCTGTTTTTATTTATCCTTGGTTAAGTAGTGGTTCGTTTTATTTCCATCTCCTTGTTTCCGTTAGATGAATTACTCAAGGGCCAACTGTAACAAGATTATTATGCTTTTCACTGATGGCGGAGAGGATAGAGCAGAGAAGATCTTTCAACTTGAAAACCCACAAAAAAACGTAAGCCTGTAAAAAGTCTTTTACAATGTTCAGAGTGAAATACCAGAATGAGCCTTTTAGAATATTTGATTTGATTGCTTCGTCTTTTCCTCGTAGGTGCGTGTCTTTACGTTTTCAGTAGGTAAACACAACTACGACAAGGCGCCAATACAGTCGATGGCCTGCAACAATAAAGGTACATTACAGGGTCCGTTGGAGGTTTAGAGAGCTTGTGACACGTTTGTTTCATTCACCTGAATTTTCCTCTGTAGTATAAAATATATTCTATAGGTACCATTGTAACACCTTTGTAAATAACATATTTTTATTGTAACAACAAGGTTTTAAATGCATACTCTCACTGCCCCCTTTATTAGCTACACCTGTTTAACACAAATATCTAATCAGCAAATCACATGGCAGGAAAATCAACATACTTGACATACCTATCTACCAATCGCTACATTCATAATCTGATGAATGAGCTGGAGAACAACTCTGGGTTATTTTCTTGCCCAAGGATATTTGGTATGCAGCATGGAGCAGCCAGGAATTTAACTACCAACCTTCTGATCAGCCTGGTATGTGAGTGACTGAAGGTTCCATGATGATGATCGCAGGAAGAAGGCAGGCAGAGGGACACAAGTGTGCATACAAATACAGAGCAGAAGAAACTTCTCACCTATGGCAGCCATCTCTGCGGTTTACAGACAACGATCTGAAAAAGAGAAAATATTCAGAGAGCAGCAGTTCTGTGGTTTAAAAACACAGAACTGATGTGATAGTTCACATGGGACGAACAAAATATGACAATAGAAGACTTGAAAAACGCTGCCGAGTTTTATCAGTCTCAGTTTCTGCTGCACTATTCAAATGATAGAGTCAGAATTTAAGTAACATATAAGAATGGATCCACCTTAACTTGTATCAGCTGCTAATGGTGTGGGGGATCATTTCTTGGCACACTTTGTGCTCCTTAGTATCAGCTGATCATGGTTGAAATGTCATAACTTACCTGAATATAGATGTTGATCATATCAACTACTAGTAACCAGTGTACCCATCTTCTGATGGGCGCTTCCAGCAGCTCATATAATCTCAAACTGGTTTCTTGAACACGACATTGAGCTCAGATGGCCTCCAGAATCACCACAGATCATTCAAATAAAAGGACTTTTGGGACCGGGAAGGTGGAATGGATGAGTCACATCATGGTTTTGCAGCTGACAAATCTGCAGCATCTGTGTGATGCTATCATGTCAGTCTGCCTTAAAACATTTTCCAGTTCCTTCTTCAACCCATGCCACAAACATTTAAGGCAGTTATGAAGGAAAAGTCCAACCCAGTACTTGTCAGTGAGGCCAATTGTAGGTAATTGCAACCAGGTGGAGACTAGATGATAAAGTGGTAAATTTTAGCGTTTACACAGCATCTGGAGTGAGGATGATTATTAACATGTTTTTTTGCTGTTCAATATCAATATGTTTTTCTTTTCTTGGGGGGGTTGTTCGTTTTTTGTTTATAAAATTTAAAAAATATTTTTCTTCCTTAGGTTATTACTATGAGATCCCATCTATAGGTGCCATTCGGCTAAATACTCAGGTAAATACACATTCAGTCACGCTCATGCAGTATTTCTGCACTGTCTTTCATGTCAAAGTCCCACCTCACTTACTTAACCACTTGTGTGCTGTGCCCTCTTGTGGTAGAATGCCTCATGTGCAGGTTCAAAAGTAATATTCTTCCCTTCATCCTCTTGGCAGGAGTACCTGGATGTTCTGGGCAGGCCTATGGTTAAAGCTAAACAAAAGGCCAAGCAGGTTCAGTGGACTAACGTCTACCTGGATGCTTTGGTATGTTAAGTGTTGTAACCAAAATGCATTGCATTACATTGAAAGAGTGTGGAAGCAGAGACTCTGTGCTTGTGTAGAGCTCTGGAATTAGAAGAAATCTGTTTTATGTCTTCTGAAGAATTTCAGATAAGTACGTTTTATTTAGTTATACTAAACATGGTGGTGTCATCCTGCTCAGGCGAACTCTGCTGAAGTAGTGTTTGCGAAACATTATTTGCTAAAAAAGAAAATATAATAAAATAAAGAAGATCATGGTCGTTAAGTCATTAAGATTTACTTCCCAGTTGAAATTCAGATAAGAATACTGATAAAGTGAGCCAACTGGTTTGGATACTGTCAGTGTTTGGAACAGTATTGACCTCATGTCAGCGCTGGAAATATCTGTCTTTTATTACTGGAGACATCCTGGATTTTATCTGACATCTAGTCATTAAAGCAGTATAAAAAAAGGGATCATATAAAATGCATACAAACTTGACATACAAGTTACAAAATTGCACAAAAACAGAAAATGACGTGCAGTAAGGCATTGATATCATATGCTAAGACTGCGTTAGACACCACTAAGCATTAATCTTCTGAGAGCATCTGTTTCTGTCTCTCATATTGTGTCTGATTTTTGTGTAGGTGTAAATACAATTCCAAATTACCTTAATCTAAAATCAAAT